GAAGATATTGGTGAACTGAGAACTGAGAGTAGTTTAATGCTGCATCAGAGGATATGTATGATTGTGATAAAAATTTGAGGTAAAAGAAGAGGGTAAATTCGGGAAATTAAATGTTAAAAAAGATGGGTCTTTATATTCATATCCATAAATGTCAATCCGTGACCTTGTACATTCCGAACCATAAATTTTCACTTTTCTCTAATTGATTTGCTCAGAACAAAAGTGTGAAGGATTGACATTTTCAAAAGCCAATAAATTTGTACAAGAAGGTAAATGGTAGTTTATATAATTGGGTGGTTTCGTGGACCTCAAGTTATCTTTAGTGTTGTGCAAAATCTTTTTCCTTCACTTACCAGCTCTGTTTTGCCCTACACATTGTTTTGTTACAATGACTTCAACACTGATACATAACAGTACTATTCATTATCTACATTTGAGAATCCTGCAAAAGAACATTCAACAAAGATTGCTTAGAAGAAGCAAGCACAACTCAAGATTGGAGAATCAATCAAAGACAAAGTGTTAACAATCAAGTAATTGGTGAACTAAGCGGTTATGAGTAACAATCAACTCAAGATCAGACATTCTCTCGGACTGATAATTAATGGTAACAAATAAATCAATCCAAATTCGACGAAATTTTCCCCAACATTTTATCACAAGGAACCTAACATCAAGCTTTTAAATAGAATCCCCAAAGCAATAAACTACATTTCAATAATGGAACCTCGAATCACTCACTGAGCAGACCAAAAGGGAAAAGAAAAAAGGGAAAATGGCACTCTGAAATTTCAGTCTCAGAATAATTTTGCTCAAAACAAAACGTTAGTTTGAGTCCATTGCCAAATAATAGGGCTTTTTCTGGAGTGTGCCTTTATAGGACCCATGCTTAGTACGGCCCATTATAATATTTATTTTTTTGGCCCAAATATAGGAGTTGCGCGCATTTATGGACTCAAAATCTGCAAAATATATTGATCTCAAATTTAACGGATAAGAAACTAAAATGGAGAAATTTTGGGAAATACCAATTTTCAAGTGTCTGTTTTTTCAAAATATTATTTTTTAAAAATTTTTGCAAAAATATCACATTTTAAAAATTATTTACTTATTATATCA